GACAATAGAATTGGGGAACTTCCAACTCACCTCGATTCTCCGTTTGACGTCTAAATGATGTGATCTAGGTGCCTATGGAAAGCTCTTTACATGAACTAGCTAATGGCACAGGTTTTACTTTCAAAACATGTCACACTAGGAAGTTGGACACCTAAACACATTTAAACCACTTTTCAACACTTTTACACAAAATGGGTGTCCAAAACCCTCAACAAGTGCCAAAAGCTTTTCCTAATACTTGGACCATGTCTAATGGATCTAGGACTACCAGTACAATATGTCACAAGCACCAAAACATCATTATAACAAAAATTCACTCCTCAATCTCATTTTACCAAAAATAGAGTGGGTAATTTGTCATTGCATCTCGCCCAAATTGTTCAAAACATGTTTAAATTATTATTTCTACACTTGTACTAGTATTTTGACCCTATAGACATATATATATATATATATATATCAACATACACAAAGACTAAGGGCCTAAAATACAAATCTAACATTTCCAATAACAAAATAGTGCAAGTGTGGTTACATGCATCATAGAATTGGAAAATCATATGCTATTACACAATGAAATTTAAACTAGAGGCAGGAATATGCTAATTCCCAGCCTCTTTAACCTTCTCCCTCTCAACATCAGAGCTAGAGCCTGAAAAATGTTAAATGAAAGGGGTGAGTCTAGCCACTCAATAACTAAAGTTAAACCTACCCTATGCAATTATATATCAATTATAAACCAAATACATACATGAGGAAAGCAAATATATAAAACATGCTGACATATATCATATCTCATCATTTATCATCAAATAACTTCTTTAACTCTCATAACTAGGTGCATTATCACTATATTCTCAAATATATGACATGACCCATACTCATGTAACTTGCTACCACTTATCACTTGTGACACGTCATATATTTACTTAGGCAATGATCAACCAACCTTATATTTTCCTTATTTCCTCATACCAAAATCGTGGGCTATAACATTAATTAGGGCTCCATTCATATGACTGGACTATCCAAGCTCACCAATTGTGAGGTGTGACCCGGCTAAAGAACACAGAACTCACTCTCAGACCATGGCTTCCCCCATTTTTAAATCCCTGGAGTGTCTCATACCCAAGGCTATTCTCCTTATTGGATGGTAGAGATAACTAGGTTTTAGTCCCTCGATAAACTATGGGACAATCTCTTGACAAACTATGGGACAAGGCTATACCTCGTGCACCGAAGGGCAACCAAAATACTATATGAATTTTTCTCTACTCCAAATCCCTAGGCAAACTCCCACCATTGATCATGCCATAATTAATACTCACTCGTTTTTACTTTTTCGCTTTCATATACTCATTATCACAACAATTACATTAGGCTCACAACCATGCGCTACCCAAGTGTGTATTCTCATCATTTTCTCAAGATTCATTTCTCATTAACATAAAAATACCTCTACATATCATCACATTCATTTTTAAAAAACATAAGCATATTCATAGTTAAGATCCTCTTGGCTTCACATTTTGCATTTTCAAGCCAAAAATAGCTTTTTCATGCACTCATTGAAACTAATATATAGTTTTTACTTTAAAAATTAATTCCATGCATGTAACATTCATAATTCACATTTAACAACTAATTAACAATCAATTAACATATAACTACCCAAAGTAGAATTTCCCTCAGTTACCTCAAACCTTTGAGAGGTCAAAGGTTTACCCCTCAATCAACTAGCTTCCAATCTTGAATTTCCAATCCAATAGGTGACCAAGAGCCAAAACTACAATCAACCAAGTTGAATTTCATCAACATTACCAATCTAAGCATGTAAACCCTCAATCTCTACTTCTATATTGCCCAACATTCTCTCTACATGAGTTGGAGCCTATCCATTGGGTTTAATAATTACCTTTAGCCCCCAATAACATTAATGAGACATTAAATCTCCATTAATGGCATCACAGACTTCCAACCACCCATAATAAATGAGATTTTCGGATATTAATGGTGTCCAACAACCTAAGACACCAAAACTCATTATACCTAAGTTTAGATACTCTAATATATTCCCATTAACTTCATTTGAGTCAATAAATTCATACCCATAACCTATATGGACCAAATTCCACTTCCACTATCAAACCCTGACCATAAACTTATAAATGTGAAAGAAATAGGGAGATTAATGAGTGTGATCCTTACCTTAGGTATTTGTAGCCTTCAAAATACTTCTAAAGTTATCCACAAGTAAACCCTAGCAGAGCATTGGCGTATCTCTTCGTTCTCTCTTTTCTCTTCTTTCTATTACTGTCTCATTTTGCGTCTGATAAACTACAGAAAATGGCCATGTGTCACAGCGGACTCATAATGCACCACGGCGTATGGCATAAAGAGGTCCTCCCTCGCTCAGAAATGTCTGTGCACCACGGTGGATGATCTACACGCCACAGCGTGTGGCACAACAATATTAACTTTTCCTTTTCTTCTCCTTTTGATGCTTGGGTGGCCCGCCTTGATACCAGACCCACAATTAAGGCTGAAATACCACCAAATATGATTATTAAACCTCTCTAGATACACACCATTTCAACTTGCTTAATTACCCTGATTAAGTTTAATCAATCAAGGAATTAAAACTTGAGATGTTACACTTTACATACTCTTTCATACATAACATATATATATATATATATATATATATTAACATATCATTTAAAATCACCCATTTCTAATGCTTTTATTCAATCAAAAGCTATTTCATACAACATTCATACAATGCTATAAAATATTCTTATTCCAAAACAAGTTCATGCACTACATAGCATACTCACACACAGTCACAATAAACAGTCAAATAAAGGAAGTTATTCAACTCTTTTGTCACTAGAAAGGTTACCCATGAATTTCAAATAATAGCTTAGGAAGTTACATACTCTTTCTCAACTTACCCATTCAATATACCCATCTAGACACAATTGGCACAATTTAGTCATTTGATCCATTTTGACCAAAAACACATTTTTTCTACTTATGGCTAAATTCATCTATAAATTCTTTTTCATTTATCCATTCTAAGTCCATTACTACTCGATTACTACTTTATATCACCTTAACTAGTCTTATTTTACTCAAATCAGATTTTCACCTCTTTCTCTCTCTAACCGAGGGCTAAGTTGAGCCTATGGGTTTAAAGCTCTATCATTCAACTTTAAATTAGGTTCAAAGCTCTAATTTAAGTCTTCAAAGCTCTAATTTAAGTCTCAAAAATCTTTTTATTACTATTGGGAAAAATCAAATCCCTCAAACTTCACCGATTCAATTTTTTTTATAACTCATTTTCAGAGAAATTTGTGTAAAATGGATGGTATATACGTAACTTATCTGCTAAGCTATTGATTAAAAGCACCTTCTAATAACCTAAAAGGGCTTGCCCTAATACTTTAGTCCTTCTTCTCTCCCTCTCTCGTGAATTTTCAAATTTTTCTCTTTGAAAATCACCCAGATTTCATGACTTAAGAAGTCATTTTTTGGTTCATGCGCCGCCGCGCATGTAGCACAGGCCGCAGCATGTGGCACAGTGGGATTAATTCTCACCACACGCACTTGCTTTAACCTTAAACGCAATCCTCTCACCCATGTCTACTCATTTAACATCTCAAAGAGTCAAATCATTAAGTAATCATCCAAATCTCTGACCCCATACTAATTACCACTTTACCCTTAATTATCAACTAATCACGGGATTAAGAAATTCAGGATGTTACAAGTTTGTGTGAATTTAGTAAAATCCCAAAAATTCATTTCATTTTTAGTTATTCTTTTAGTAGAGAATTTTGCATTCAATCAAGATCCATTTGTGTATTTTGTAAAATCTCAAAAATAAGCATTCAATCAATCAAACTTTGCATTCAAATAATCAATCAAACTTTGCAAATTATAGTATGCTTAACACAACAAGTCAAGTAATTAAGTATTCAATTTCAAGCAACATCCATAAATAATTCCCATGAATCAAGCATTCAAGTAATCATGCAAGAAATCAAGCATTCAAGTTCTTTTACACATTTTAACAAATATCTTATGGGCATAAACAACCCAATCAAGTTCAAGCTTAATCTAAGAATGAGCAACCACCTCCAACTCAAAGCAAATCATATAATTCTAGTTCTTTTCATCCCCACGAATTCAAAACAAGGTTTAATGCCAATATCAAATATGACCCACAAGCATGACCAAGAGCACCCACACGAGCAAAGGACAATGGGTGATGAAACGAAGAGTAGCCATAAGCACAATGACATTGAGAATCCAAAGCCCAGGAAGATTCAAGTGCGAAATGATAGATTTTGGGCACAAGGATGCCAAAAAATAATTTTTGAAGGGGTTGCATGTGTTTTCAAGCAAAATGGGAGTTGCAGAATGCATAAGACTTGACTGGTATTACATAATAATCGTCAAGTATTTCTTATTTGATACTTGTTTCACAATAACTATCAAGTATATGCCAAACATGCTTGATGGTTATTATAGAAATACTACTAGAAAATGTCATATTGGTGAGGAAATTTAACTAGAACTTAATTATTCCTCTCTAAATGATTGAATTAGCAAAGAGTTTAGCGAGAAAATTCTATTTTGTCTCAAATAAATTTAGTGAGGGACGTTAGCGAGAAATAACATGTTCTTCTTTAATTTACCTAATCAGTAATGAAAAATAGCGACAAATAATATAGTTCTTCCTAAATGGTCTTAATAGTGAGGAATTTGCGAAGAATGATCATTCCTCTCTAAAAAACTTATAGCAAAAAAAAAAAAAGAAAAATTTTAAGTTCTAGCTTGTATTTATTTCTTTTCAGAAAAATACCTATTCGACTAAAAATAATATTATTTTATATTATATTATGTGTATATATATAATATTTTTAAAAAAATTTATAATATTGTACTATGTATAGATTTTCTCTCTCTTTCTCACCGTTTCTTGTAGGAGAAAATCAGAATAAAGGCTACATGCTCAGTCAAACTCCTCCAATTGCAACCCTCCCTATTTCTCCCGGAGACCAAAGATGGAGAAATCTGGACTCCTCGCTGCCTAAAAGGTAGTTGCTTCCGCCACAACAGTCTTTGTTTCATCTCCCTCTTCCTCCGCTTCTCTACAGACTCTACATCAGGTATTGAACTCGGGGAAGGGTTTTGATTTTCTTTCCCTAAAAATTTCACCCTATTTTGGTTAAAATTGAGGTTCAGAACATTGCGATCTGACATATCTGCGATGAATCTTTTCATTGATCTACAATTTCTTCTTCTTCCTCTTGTTGTAGGATGCGACGATTTAGAGGAACCAAGAGAACTCATCATCGGCGAGTTCATCCTCTACAGACAAATTTGCGCCGAGATTTGACGGTTTGCGATTCATTGAGACACTGGTGACTGCCCACAGGTGAGAAAACCTCGTTCTTAACTTCATCCCCTAAATCTTCTTTCATCGTGCAGCCTGAATTTGAATCATAACTTGTAATCATAACTCCATCGTCGTCCACATTACTGTTCTTGTTGTTGTTGAGAGTCCTTCTTCGTGGTTTGCGTCTAACTTCTCCATCGTAGGTGAGAAAACCTAAATTGTTGTTATTGAGCTTTACTTATTTCTCTGTAGACCATCAATACTTTGAAGATTATGTTTCTTCTCTTACAGCAAGCCTTCACCTTTTTTTCTCAGGCACGCTATTTCTCCCTCATTCATCCTTGTAAGCTATTTAGAATTATAGTCATAGTGACATTAATTTCTCTTTGTCATTTTATAGGGGCCATCAGGGCTCTGCTTTAGGATTTGATATGATTTTCTGCCCTGACTGAATTTTGATTCAATAATTATTTTTCTGTAATTGATACATGATTGTTTATAGACAACTTTAGATAGGTGAAGTTGTCTTCACTATTCCAATTTAGCACTCTCTCATTTTAGATTTGGACGAATCATGCTTTCTTTCTGAATAATTGGTTTGTCTATATTGCTTACCAGCTATAGAGCAAATGTTTTGATCTTGAAATTTGATTTTAGTGTGGTTTTTTATCCTGTTATATTTCTAGGGACTCGTTCTGTTAAATCATTCGGCCAAATAGATATGTATAATATGTCAATCCTCCTATTTCTTGGTCCAAGATATGGAAAATTGGAATTAGAATGTAGACAATTTGTATATATAATGTTAGACATCTTATGTGTAGTTAGTTACTAACAGATTTATTTTGTTATTTGATTTGATGTAGCGATTGGGTTTAATGCCAAAACAGTGCAATATAACGACATTAAATCTCAAGTCTGGGATTTCTTTCTAAGGATAGGTTGTTTTGTAATGTTAATAGGTTAGAAACATGCAGGCCAACTTGATTTGTATTTGCAATTTTTGCAATTGATTCTACTGCAGTTTAGGATGAAAAGTTTGGCCAATAGTTTCAAGTCGGAAGATGGGTTTAGTTAGTGGTCGATGGTGTTCTTTGATAGATGCAATACAATGTGTTTAATTTTAGAAGAGTTAACCTTTCTAAAAATTATATAACTGATAGTTTATCATTTATGAAGATGATTTTACACGTAGCCATTACTTTAATGGCCTAGTTAAAGTATCTTATGCTTCTGGAACCATTCTGTTTTGATTCTTTGCATCATGCTTTCTGCTTAAATTATAGGTGGCTTGCTTATATGTAGTTTATATCAAATATACCCTTGAACGAAATCAACCAGTCTCATGGAAGAAAAATTCTATTTTATGGACACACGTATTACATGATCTCGTATGATCATGGCTCTCCTCACAATTGTTTGGTAGATTAGATTATTGCTAATTCTTAAAGTTGTTTAATTTTGTTGATTCTTTAATTTGATGGTATTTCAACTAATCGTGTGTAGAATTGATATTTAATTTTTTCTTCTCTAAAAGTCAAGTTGTGTCCAAGCCTTATTGCTTTACTCTTTATTGTGTTTTAATGTGATATAAAGTCCAAGCCTTATTGTATTACTCTTTATCATGTTTAACAAGGTTAGAAAGTCAAAGAAATCGGTGAACCAACTGTTTCTTCTGCTAAACAGGTACTGCAAGTAATGACTGTGTTCTTTTACTTAAGAGAAGAAAAATCAAAGAATGCTGTCTATTTATTTATTTGTTTTATTGTTTGAAATTCACATCTTAAATTTATGGATGGTATTAACTGCAATGAACAACTTTGTTTATCTCTTAGCACAAGTTTTGACACGTCTTTGTGCTATGCTTCGCAGGAGCTATCAGAGATGGTTTTTCAGTTTGCTGTGTAGGAAGCAGCATCTGGCTACATGTGGCTTCTATATTTTCCCCCAAGTTTTTCCTTTATTTTATGTTTATGAGATATTTTTAGAATTCTTGTAATATTATTGAATGAGTTTATTACTTCACACTTCTTGTAATATTGAATGACTTTTGATATATGGTTAACTGATTGAACCATTTATGGTATATTATTTTGTTTACTTGAAATTTCTTGATCATGATTGCTTGTTTGAACAGTATTTATTTATAACCAAAATTTTAATTCTTATAAAATTAATGTGCAATTTAGAGAGGAAATAGTAAGAAAGTTATTCCTCAGTAATTAACAAATTTGTGAGGAAATAGCAAAAAATCAATGCCTTGTTATTATGTCACTATTAATGAAATTTAGTATCAATTAGCAAGGGCATTGCAAGGATACAATTCCTTGCTAACTTAGTGAAGACAGCATTCCTTGTGAGATGGACTCACTAGAAATATATGATCAATGAGGAATTAGTGAGGAAGCTAATTCCTTGCTAGAGTTTGCAAGGAAATAAGTTTCTCAAAAATTTCTCGTAAAATTAGTAAGAAATACAATATTTCTTGCTAACATTTAGCAAGCCTTTGATTAGTTGTAAATTTAGTGAGAAAATTAATTCCTCAGTTGCTACAATTTAGAGAGCAATTAGGAATATTTAGTGAGGGATTAAATCTTTGTTAAATTGTGATTTTCTTGAAGTGAAAAAAACATCAGATATATATTTTTTAATATATAAGTGATGTTTGTTTGGAAATAATTGTCAAGTATTTTAGGCACATACTTGATGGTTATTCTAGAATAAGCGTTAAATATGTTTATGTTATATACTTGATAGTTTTTTATAAATAACCATCAAGTATATGTCTAAATATTTGATGGTCATTTTGAAACAACTGTCAAGCATTTAGTGCCTTTTTTATTTGATGCTTTTTTCATATAATTGTCAAATATAAGGCATCATATTTAGATAATTTTGTGGTAGTACTTTTTCAAACATTTAATCAAACACCCTTTCCAAAAGTTTTCTTATATAATCATAACTAACTACTTAATTAAAATGCAATTTACTCTTATGCCTTTTGCCAACCACTTAGTGTGCATCACTCCCAAACCACTCGATAGAGCTTTTTTAACATTCAACTCTCTTGCCCAATATTTTACGAAACATCTAAATATCACTCCTAAAATGATATTATAATTTATAAATTATCAACCACGTAACTGTTAAGAATATAGAATTCAAATAAAATTTCAGTAGCTTCTTAAATAAATTCCTTTACAATACATGGTTTGGTTTCACCCATAACCAATGCCTGAACCTGATTATGCTTCTTGTGAAATTAACAACATTGTAGATACATGATCATTCAAGCAAAACACATCTTCAGCAATTCCATTAGCATATTGATATTTCCAAATTCCTTTACTCTCTTTAAATACCCTACATCATAATAGGAATTTCATCCCCTCACTCCTAATGTAAGAACATCCCAAGAACAAAATGAAACAATGAAGGCACACAATTGGACGCATAGGAATGCCATAAGCAGAAGAGAATTTTTTTGAAGCTTCGCCAAACCAAAAGAGTGTCTTGAGTAGGGAAGATGAAAGAAGAGAGAGCTCTACATACCACCACCTGAACGATGCCAATGGAATTGATGAAGAGAGGAGGAGGAGGAGGAACCGACGATGAAGCAGTAACAGGGAGGAGGATGGATCGTACCTTGACTGAACTCCTTGCGATAGTGAACTCTCAGTAACTCAACTCCCATGCTAGTGACCAACTGGGAATGGAGAAGAAAGGAGAAGATAGAGATAGCAGAGGGTTCTCGGTTCAGAGCTTCACTATGTCTCTAGCGAGTTCAATGGATCGGAGAAGAACAAAGGAGAGGGGGAAAAATCTGATTAGGGTGGAGGGCATAATTGTAATTTTACGAGGTTCGAACACAAGATTGGAAAGTGATTTTTTTTTTTTTTTTTTTATCGATTGGCAGATGATAAGTTAGCTTAAATTCCACTAGACTAACTCTACTTCTCCGTAAATTTGCACCAAATAGACACACACACACACACACACACACACACACACACACACACACACCTTAACGTCAATTTTAATTTTAATTAAATTCTGGGCCATTACAAAGACTATTGGGACAGCGAGAACTGGGCATGTTAGAACAGTGATGCACAACCTTTGAATGGAGAAATGTTGTGCTGCAGTAGGGATCTTCAAGAGCTACCACGAGAGCATCTGAAATGAGAAGAAAAATTGAAGGGGAGACTTCATGGGATTCATGAGATTGACAGAATCGGTGACAGCTTGAGGTAGTTCTGGTTTGTGTAGCAGTGGAAGGCTGGACAGTGGACATGAAAAGTAGATTCTGGTAGTGATGGCGAGACAAGACGACCGGAAGACAGGTTTGCACAGCTTTGACGTCACGAACAACTTGAGAGGAAAGTGTGGAACTTGAACTTGTGGAGTGGGAAGAACTGATGTGAACTCTAAAAGAAAGTTTTCATAGATCCTTTGAAGCCCTTCCATGTGGAAGAGCTCCAAAAGGCACACGATTTCAAAGAGCTTCCTGAGGAAGTGCTTTGAAAGGCGATAAGTTTTTTGAGTTTTTCACTAGGAAGCAGTCCAAAAAGTATTTCATTTATTTTAAAAAATAAATAAATAACAAAGGCCTTTCATAATGCTTTTATCCAGAAGTGTTTCAGAAGGTCTATAAAGATATTAAATTTTAAAAAATTGCAAAATCCACCGGATCGCTTCCTTCATGTAATATACTATTTTTAATTATTTTTATACACACCTTTCAGAACGCTTCTCTCGAGAAGCACCCTAAAGGGTAAGCATACAGTAGCACTGTTTTCGCCCAAGTGCTCTGGTAAGGGCACTCCTGCAAGTCTTTTTTTAATAGAATTGTTAATGAACTAATGAATGAATCCCTAAAATAAAGACTAATTACCTACTTCATCATTTTCCCAATAATGAACCAATGCATGAACGGAATTTGGCATGAATAATGATTCAAATGTGAAACGAAATGTTTTCAATTCTAGCAATATCATTTGTAATTTTTTCTGCTTAATTTTATATATTATCTGCTTATTTTTAATATATATAATATGTATGCTAATTAATATTAGATATTTGATTTAAATATAAATTATCATGTTATGTTTGTTAAATATTATTAGGATGCTATGATAAATGCATCAAATAATAATAATAATAATAATAATAATAATAATAATAATTATTATTATTATTATTATTTATTATTATTATTATTATTATTATTCAAACCAAAATTTATTATTGATTTCTAAAGCGCATAGAATCATAAGAAACAAAAAAAAAAATCTCCAAAATACATAATTATAAAAGTCCTTTTTTTAATGTTTCTAAGCTGTTGTCTATATATATATATATATATATATATATATATATTAAATATTAATAATAGATACACTTCTAAAGAATGAAATCCGGATTGGTAGAATACTATAATTAGGAAAACAAATAAGACATATACTATTATTAAAATCCGATGTTAACAATGAAATTAGTTTTATTAAATTTTCACATTATGTGTAAAATATTTATCATGATTTGCAAACCAAAAAATATTTTTAGGATAATAAAACATGTTAAAATATATATTTTGATATATCCATAAAAAGTAAAATACATTGAAAAGTCTTAGCTTGAATATTATAGAAAATGAAGACAACAAAAACAAATGTCCCTAATTTTATACGTTATTTGTATATTGCCAAGATCCAAGAAGACTCTTCTATTAAATAGACCTCCATAAATACCCCAAGTCCACACAAGTATAAAATAAGTTATAAAAAGTATAGATGATAATATATCCAAAAATTATGGTGGCCACAACTTGGACAATTACAATGAAAACAAATACATCAACTCCATCGTCCCATAACGTAAAAAATAAGTTAGAATGAAAAGATGATATTTCCACATTACTTAAATAGTTTGCTTTCACAAAAGTAGAACACCATAATTACATAAAAAATTTAGAAATAAAGGCTATCTCTTAATGCACATTAAAAAAATAATGATATTGTATATAGAATGATAGTGTAAACAAGTTATCTAGATCATACAATATAAAAATATATAAATAACCTAAATTGGATTAAAACAATTTAATAGAAATAACTATGAAATTTATACCTTTCAAAATATAGTGCATAAGAAATCGGAGTCCTAACATTAGAAAACAGGCCCCCCAAAAAAAAAAAGTCATAACATATGCACAAACCAATCAAAACAAACATATCAAGTTTTCTACGTTACTTAAATGTCTGGTAGTGAAAATTGTGGCCTACGAGATAAGACCTTCGTCATATTGAAATAAGTCATAAGGGGATGATATTATCCCGTAAAATTTGGGTGCACTTGAAGTCGTGATATTAGAGTATTAGACAATGGCAATGAATTGATATGTCAAAATTTCCACATAGTGCGTGTAGAAGGAGATTTATAGACTTACAAAAAAAAAAAGTTTAGAAAATGATAATAAACTCTTCATATTTGAAAAGACCATGACAATAGCTAGACAACAATATTGAAAACAAATGCCTCTAATTATATTTTTCCACATGGCATTGATATTTGATTGAAAACTTGTCTCGTTAATTAAAGAAAAAAAAAAGCCCAGAATAATTATAAGTTAAGTTAGAAATGGATAACAATATTGGGACGTAAGTGTACTCCGAAATTAAAACTCAGAGACAACAAAATGAATATCTCAATTTTTTTGATAAAAAATATACCAAATTTTCCATGCGTGTTGCATGCAGAATGGTCATCCCTCTAAACAAAGGCCTCTAAACTTGTAAACTATAAGTTGGAAAGAGACTATCAAAAACAACTAAATTTAAGCATTTCAAAAATTCATAAAATTACAAATTGAATTATAAGTCAGAGTATGAATGAATGATATCTCTCAAAGTTGTAAAAAAAAAATCTCATAACTTCAAAGAACAATAACAAAGACAAACGGGATTGAATCTAGTTTTATCCCTCTTGAAAGTTATATATAGGGTGCTTGAAAAATAAAAAATTTTCAATCCAAATGTCGATATTATATTCTTATTTCTCTAAAAGAAAAGAGAAACTTTTTAGATA